GCATTATTATCTGCTTTTTAATGACATCTCTGTTCACTGTTCACTCTGTTTCATTGTTCACTCACGAGATTGTCATCCTCTCATGTGCCTTAAGGTAAAAGAGCAAAAGAGGTCAAACGGAGGATGTTAACTTCCCAGCAGTAGGAGCTTCCATGTGATGGCAGTTGGGAACAGACAGTAGGTTTGTGGGAAGAAAAGCTTTAAGATAATCTCTAATGGCTTCTTCCTCTGGTGCCAAAACCCCAGGCAGCTTCTCTCTCATCTCCCTTATCGCTTGTTCTATGTCTTACCTGAGCAGCCTTGAATAAGCTTTTTTTGGCTGAGGGTACTGCCATGTTTTGCTTTCAAAGGACACTTTCATTCTCCCCTTTTTCTGATTCCTGCCCACCCCCTTTAGTTGTCCCTAAATAAAGCCACCAAATGCTGCTCTCCTGTATTTCTGCATCCTGCATTCAGCACATCAGACCCAACTGGTGAGTGTCCACAGCACTTCAGAAGTGTCCTTGGCTTTCTTTGTCTTTTGTGGTCACACTTGAAAGATCCTATGGTAGTAGGTGTGGGACAAACACAGCCCAAAGTGTGCAACCAAGGGGAGACTGCGCTACCTCATGCAAATACTGAAGAAGGGAACTTGGTGTGGTCTGTGTTTATAGCTGTCTGCATGCTACCTGCTCTCTTTCCAGTGCCTGGGGGAATCCAGGTGTATTCTTACTTTCTCAGGAATAAATCTCATGGGGAAAAAATGCCTCCATGCACCAAGCCCAGTACAATTCCAGTATAATTTCTTACAGAGCTGCCTGTTGCACTGGGCACAGAGGAAGTCCCCTCCTCTCTGTGGGAAGATGACAGGCTGGGGGTCATGTCTGCAAAGTGTATTTCAGGCCTGGAAATGAGCACCTCCTCAAAGTGTGAAGGGTTGAAAATACAGCACAACACCTCTAGAAGAGGCTGGTGAGGTCATGGGGAGCTGAGGAGGGAAGGTGGTGGTGGTGGCTGAGTGAGTCCAAGAGAGGGATAGGCTGTGGACTGCATCAGGTGGCATCTTAACAGTTGAAAAAACTTTATGGCAGAGGAAAAAAAAGAGGTTGGGAATGAAGGAGTCAGGCAGCAAGGGGCAAAGTCCTTTCTCCAAAGTCATGTATTAAGGAGAAGGGCATCCAAAGGGAGAAGTAAAATGTCTGCCTGTCGGGGAGGATGTAACACAGTGGGTTGCTGTGGCTGCTGTGGGAGAGTCGAATTGCTCCTAGCTGGAAACAAGAAGTTATTTGAGTCTCCATCTGGCCTGAGAACATATAGGGCAGGAACACAGTAGGATTAGATGTTCAGGAAAGAAGCCAGGAGGTGTGTGAATAGGCTTTCTCATAGAAACAGCAGCCAAAGCAGCAGAGGGAAGTGTTGGGGAAGTGTAATGCTGTGCGTTGCTTTGTCTGGGAAGTGAGAAGCTGAAGCTTGGGGCACAAAGGGCCAAAACTTTGGGCATTGGTTTAGTCTAACACCTGTATCCAGTTTAAAATGTTTGATTCTATAACTGAGGTCCTTGCCTTCTTTTTAAAATAGGAAAATGAAGACACAAGTGACGCATCTCCCCTGCTAATCTGTGCCTGTCCCCACTGCAGTGTCCAGCTTCTGTCCTTCATGTTGACCTATTAAGGAGTGAGAGAACAGGTGCAGAGTCAAAGCCCTCGTCCAGGTGTCCCTGAGGTGGAGGCTGGTGACAGGGCTGAGACTTTAGGCTGACACCTGGGGCATTCCCTTCCTGGGGTTACGTGAGAGAAGGTGACTCCCTGGTTGTGACCTTCCCCTGCTACTCTGTGTGAAACAGTTCTAACGCAAAACCAGCTAAAACACAAATATTAGTAGAAATAGACTGGCTCTTGGATCCGCCCTGCATTAAAAGAATAAAAGCAAAGAATTAGCTAAGTTCTCTCCTGTCAGCTGCTCATGACATCCTCAATAAACCCAGACTTAGGCATCATTGTACTTGATAATGTGCCCTGGACTGCAGCAAATTGGAACGTGCCAAGGACTGTGACAGATCAAACACGTTTCATTAAGTATGTGTTATTTTTTTCTCTCACATTTGACAGTGCGTGGAGCTCTGCTCCTCTCAGAGATGAGGAGGCTGTGCTGCAGCATCTGAATGAACTGATTAGCCAGCTGGCAGGCCTTGCTGCAGGCAGGCAGTGGGAGAAGAGGCCTTGTCTGGGCTTCAGGATCTGAGAAAAGACTGATGGGAGGACCTGACATTTCCACCTCCCCATCCAAATCAGCAGGCAAGCTAAGAGGAGGGGGCAAAGTTGGGCCTGGAAGGGCCTCTGTGCTGGTGAGCTGCTGGGGAGCTGCAGAGCTGCAAGCTCTGCACCAGCCAGCATTTAGGGTGCTTGCCTTCACCTCTGGGTTGCATCCCCTTCTTTAAATGTGGGGTTAGAGGTTTGTATGAGCCTCTTAGAGGGCTGATTCAGCTTCAAGCTCAAGTTTAGATCCACATATGTTGTAATACTTTGTGTGTGCTTTCTGGTATGTGGACCACAAAGAAAAAGGACCGGTAAAAGTCCTTAGTGCCCTGTTGCATCTGCATTTGACATTGAAATTGGTTGTTAACAGGAGACTAGAATCTTTCTGCAATGTTTTTGAAGAGGCAGCTATATAGCCTGGAGGATGCTTTTCACTGACCCCTCACTGCCCTCCTCTGTCGTTTATGCTCCCCTGTTCTTGCTGCAGCCCCTCTTATTAAAGGCAGTGTTAACGCCTTGCATGGGATTTAGCCTTCTGCATTTAGAGTCTGTGGAAATCTGCTGCTGATTTCAAAGGGAAAGCACCAAGGCAGATTTGGGGAACAAAGACTGTCATCCAGGCATTTAAAGAGCAACTGGTGTATTGCACTTTGTGATCTGTCTTCCTTTCTTTTTACTTGAATGACAGAAGAAACATGCCTTGTGTCAGAATCTGCTTGCTTTGATATGAACATTCAGTAAAAGTTTTCTTTTCATATGCAAGCATCTTTCTTTGCCCCAGGGTCTTGTATATCTAGAGGGTTAGCATTTAGGAAATCACTTCATTTCCACTGGGCAACTTAGAGAAGCAAATGAGACACAGTGGTAATGATGCTGTCTTTTGTGGAGTAAGCACAAGCATGGTTAAACAGCTCCTGCTTCTGCTCCCTCCTTGCCTCATTGGAAA